CAACCCTATACAGACATCTATGGCATGGTGTGCTAGCTGGGGATAAAGCTGAAACACGTCTACCATAGAAGCATTCATTCAGTTGTTCTGTAGGTTTGATAGTTGAAGGCTAGGAAGCTGGGTAGTTAGTTACAGAAGATGTTTCTTCTTCTACTGTTAGAAGTTCTATTTCAGCAGTGTAGATTATGCTTTTCTCAGCAGCTACACCTGTCAATCAGGAAAAGACTGTATTGAGTCAAACGCACCTCAGGCGCAAGAATAAACAATCCTCTGTGTTGCCATCATAGCTGGCACATGCCGTGGCCAATATGTTGAGCATAACAGCACCAGTACACTGCCCAGTGTGGAATATGAGCAAAGACAGGGCCCCAAATTTTAGGTTTGGTCAAATACACAATTTATGGTATAAACGCTCCCTTCTACTTGGCCATCACAGCGGCCAAGAGGCAGTACAGAGAGAAGCTGAATGACTTCTATTCTAATGCTGACTCCGGATGAATGTGGCCAAGCTTGCAGCACATCACAGAGTACAGACTCAACACCTACATCATCAGATCCACAGGCAGCCTGCCGGATGACCTCAACACCTTCTACACCCGTTTTGAGACCTCCAGCTACAGCGCAGAGAGGAAGCACGCACACACCCGGATCACCCAACCCCCCACCTCCCCTCCACTAACTGTCTCACCAGTCTAGGTACACAAAGTCCTGAGGAAGATCGAACCCCGCAAAGCAGCAGGACCGGACAACATCCCTGGGAGGGCTGTCAGGGCATGTGCCAGCAAACTGGCTGATGTTCTCACCACCATCTTCACCCCGTTATGAAGTGTTTTGAGAGAGTGATACTAGCCCACATCCAGAACAGTATACCAGACCCCCTGGACCCCCTGCAGTATGCCTACCAGCCCAATAGGGCCACCTCAGATGCTATCGCGGCTGCCCTCCACTATTCCCTTTCTCATCTGGAAAATGGAGACTCCTACATCAGGATACTCTTCATTGACTACAGCTCCGCCTTCAACACAGTTATCCCCCACAAACTGTCCACACTGGGTCTGCACCCCACCCTCTGTGACCGGCTCCTGGACTTTCTGACTGGCAGGCCCCAGACTGTCAGAATTGGCAATAGGACTTCAGCCAGCATTATCACAAACATCGGCACACCACAGAGATGTGTCCTCAGTCCCATCCTCTACACCCTGTTCACCCACGACTGTGTCACCTCCTACAAAGACAACATCATCCTTAAGTTTGCGGATGACACCACAGTGATCAGTCGCATCACTGGCGGGGCTGAAACTTCCTGAGGAGGCTGAGGAGGTCTGGCATGTTGCCTAGGATCCTTTGCAACTTCTACAGTTACATCAGCGAGAGCATCTTGACCAGCTGTATCACTGTCTGGTATGGCAGCACTACTGCTATAGACCTCAAGCGACTACAGAGAGTGGTAAATACTGCGGAGAAAATCATCAGGACTCCACTGCCCTCTCTGCAGAGCATTTACCACCGCAGGGTGCGTAGGAGGGCTGCCTCCATCCTCAAGGACCCCACCCACCCCCAGCACAGACTGTTCATACCCCTGCCCTCCAGTCAGAGGCTTAGAAGTGTTAAATGCAGGACCTCTAGCCTGAAAAACTACTTGACAATAAGTCATAAATTAATGTTCATATGTGGTGACTTCAATATAGATTTGTTAAATTTTAACAAGCACACATGAACTGAGGAGTTTATTAACACAACATATAGATGCAGTTTATACCCCAAAATTACAAAACCAAGTAGAGTAACAACCCAGCATGCAACACTAATAGA